TCTCTCTCTGTCAAATAAATAAAATAAAATCTTTAAAAAAAAAAAAAAAAAGAAATGCTTTTAGAAAATACTCCTTTGGTGTTGCTGCTGGTTGATGAATTTGTATGTAGTGGCTTTTCATAAAATCTGAAAGTATAGATCAAATACTGTGAATAGAATTAAAGAGTTTAAGAACAAACTCTAAAGACGTGTTCTTGAATAGAGAAAACTTTAATTTGCTTCTTCAGCCTGAAATTACAGAGGATTAGAATGGTGGTGGGGGGGTTAATCTTTAGTTATATGCACATATAGGTACAGTAATTCTCATTATTCATAGTGGGTATCTTCTCTAAAGCCATTACAACACTGAATTAGCGAATACTTGACCGAATTGCTCCTAAGGAAACACAGGGGTGGGGTCCTGCAACTCTTTGGTCTCAACATTTTCATCAATCAGTCGATATATAACTTGTTTTATTCTATTTGAAGAGGTCTCATTTAATATATATTATTGATGCATTAACACTGAACTCCTGGCCAACAGCACTGTAACTCATGCCTGAACAAAGCTTATCTAACACATAATTTCTGTGTCAGGCCTTTTTGCACTTAGGAACACTAGACAGCACTTCAGCACTATACTTGGGGGCCATTTTAAACAGTGAAAGCACCAACAAAAATCACAAAAATGAAAAGAAAAAAGAAAGAAAAAGAAATGCAGCACTAAACAGATCATGAAAAAGATACTTGTTCACAGTACGAGAGCTGAAAGAAGAAGGCAGAGTGTTGCTTTGTTCATTCTCAGCTGGGAATGTGCACACCAGGCAACTCAGAGTTTTCACAGCTCTGTGCTTGTCTATGAATGACTAGGAGAGTGCTGTGAGTATTGATTCGGGGGTTATAAATAAATGTTAACAAGTAGGTGAATTCGCAAATATGAAATCCGTGAGTAACGAGGATGGGCTATGTTTTCTCATAGTCAGCTTCCCATGCTTTCCTCCAAGTGAGATTTGGAGGCAGAGGTATGATTTTTCCCAATCTTGTTTAGTCCTCAGTCTTCCAATCTTGAAGAGCGCCAAACCCAGGCAAGATTAATTAGAAGGGAATTGCCCAGAGGGAAAAGATTTCACCAGCCTGGAGCATGGGAGGAAAGAGAAAGGGGAGAAAGGCACTAAGAGAGGGAAATGAGATTCTAGTGGCATTGAGAACTTCAGATTCTCTCTAAATTCCAGCATATCATTTTTATCTGTAATCTTATTACTTGTCCCTGAATTCTCAGTGCCTCAGATAAAAACTTTTATTTTTTCTTATCTAATGATACACTATTAATTGATGTTCTCCACATGCATTTTCTTAGGATATTAGCTGTTCAAATAAATACTGTTCTGTGATTTCCATTGGCATTTGAATATAATATACTCTCTCGCTGTATTCTTTACAGAGAGGATCATGGATTTTATATTTGGGTAGACATAGACAATAGATTTGTGTGAGAAACTTCTCCCTCTTCATATGGTGGAGTGGGGGGCGATTAAAGGCTTACAAACAAGTAAAAATTTTGATTTTGTGGCTAAAATATTTAAAACAATGAAAAGTTAATTTCGGTTGTATAAATAAACCAGGAACAAGGCATTTTAAAATTTTTTATGTGATTTTACTTGCATGTAAACACAAACTTCATCTCCATATTATGTTGACTTAACAGAGACCTGTCAAAAATGGGGAAATGAGGAAATGGAAAAGAATGAGACTGAATAGGCTACAGACCGATCCCTCATCCCTCCATAAATGGTCTCTTCTCTCTGTTGTCTATATCAAGTAATCCCAGTTTTTTTGCCTTTAATACAAGTAATGCAGAACTACTCATTTTGAAATTCCTTTCAGTATTCCTGAAATTATTTCTTGAGGTGTCTTCTTTCAAGTTGTCACATGACTTAACATATTTTGTGGGCTTTCCTGTTTTCACAGGTTATAGTTCTTTCATTTATAAGATACTTTTTCCCCTACCCCTTACCTTACTTCCCCCCCGCAATAGCTTCTTTGACTTGGCTAATTACCTATGGATGCTGGTAGATGCATATATTTTTTTAATCTTTAGATTAAGGTTTGGGTCTTCAAGGTATTTTATTATATACGCTTGCTAGCTTTTTATGTGGTATTAACCTTTTTTTTTTTCACTTGGTCTTTCTACATTTCCCCCCTTACTGCTTATATTCATCATAGTTTTCTAAACATGGTGGATTTCATTGACTTCTGACTATGTCAACAGAGTGTTTTTGTTTTGGTTACTATTAACTAGTCGCTTACATTACTAGTTAAAAATAAATACTAATTGATAATTACAGCTGACCCTTGAACAACACAGGTTTGAACTGCATGGGTCAATTTACACGTGGATTTTTTTCAATAAATACAGAACAGTACTGTAAATGTACTTTCCTTGTGATTTTCTTTTTTTTCTTGTGATTTTTTTTTTTTTTTAAGATTTTATTTATTTATTTGACAGAGACAACAGCGAGAGAGGGAACACAAGCAGGGGGAGTTGGAGAGGGAGAAACAGGCCCCCCCCACCAAGCAGGGAGCCCATGTGGGGCTCGATCCCAGGACCCTGGGATCATGACCTGAGCCGAAGGCAGACGCTTAACGACTGAGCCACCTAGGCGCCCCTTTCTTGTGATTTTCTTAATAACATTTTATTTTCTCCAGCTTACTTTATCATAAGACTATAGAATATAATACATATACAAAATACGTGTTCATCAACTGTTTATGTTATTGGAAAGGCTTCTGTAGTTGTAAATAAGTTTTGGGGGAGTCAAAAGCTGTATGTGGATTTTTGACTACACGGAGGGGAGGGGGGTCAGTGCCCCTAACCCTCACATTGTTCAAGGATCAACTGTGCTTAAAATTATTTTGTAGGCCTAGATTTATGGGAGAAGTGACAGCACTTTTAATTATAGAATATTTCCCATTATTTAGGTTAAATTAACTTTGTGAGCTAAAGCTTCCTTTCCCTAGTCTAGAACAGAGTCATGGAGATTTTCAAATCTGGAATGGAGTCATATGCTATTTTTCTTAAAAATAAACACTTCTCCACCTTCCCCACTCCCATTTCCCAATTTAGAACAACCTGTTTAATCAAACTACGATGTTTGACAATGAGTGTTGAAGGCAGATAGGCCTAGTCCATCACTCACCTATAAGTTCATTCAATCCTTTACCATTTTGAACTATAATAGGTTCACAAGATCCTCTTCAGGACTTTCCATCAGGACCATTAGTGTCTAGGGTTCAGCTCCCACTGGTTATTGCTCTAATGGTGGATAGAGAGAGCTGTTCTTCATTGAACTAAGATTTCTTAGAATGGGGTCTGGCATGTTTTTGATGACCATCCCTAGAATATACATTTATATGCTAAATATGAAGTCTGCCATCTAAATAATTCCTGTAAGTTCTTTTGGTTAAAAAAAGAGCATCCAAACATTTATAAATGCCAGTAGTGAGTTTAATACAGAACTGAATGGAAGTTTTTTCTCTATGGATTTATAGTAAAGGATTTAACAAAATGTTTATTAGGACCTGATCTCATCTTCTCATAAGAAAAATGGATTTGCCGTAACATGAATTTACAGTGTGAATATGCTTTAGTAAAGAAAGCAAAAGCTTTGGAGTCAAAACAGAGCTGGGTTTAAATCACATCACATCACATTTGCTAGCTCTGACCTTTAGCAAGGAATCTATATTTAATTTCTGAAATCTGCAAAATTTGATAATATTCCCTAGTTTATAGGGTTTGGGTTGAAAAATTAAATGAAATAAGGATTATAAAGCACCTATAAAATTATGACATTAATTTGTTTTTAATAAATGTTAATCTTGCCTCTTAATCGTTACTCCTTAGCACTTAGGGAGTGCATGAAAGTCCATCTAGAACTTCCTTGCATGCTCTACATTAGGGGTTGTTTAATTCAGGGAATCTGGAAGGAAGCATTCTACTTATGGAATATAAGATCTTAGGGACTAAATAAATCCGAGGTGGAATGGAAGCATTACTTCTACCTGGGAAAAGAGTAAAGCGTGAAAGGAGGGTGGTAGTATAAATAATGCTGGAAACTCTGCTAAAAGACTCTAAATGCACACTTGACGATCATTAGGTATGTAAAATGGCAGCCGCAAGGCCAGAAGCTCCCTGAGAGGAATGGTTGCAGTGGTATTTGCGACTTAGCGTCCCCATGGACTTCTTGAAAGTACCTATACCAGTTTCTGCTGGTGTTCCTTGGGTATAAACGTTGGAGCTGTTGCCCTGTGGTGTCTTTCCTCTGAGATACATTGTCTTGGCTTTTCCTGCCCCAGAGCAAAGTCAGCAGGCCTGCAGCTTCTCTGCCATTATCAGAGTCCCCTCCTGCAGAGTTGTGCAGTGCTGACAACCCAGACTACCACTGATGGAGAGTTAGCTATTTGAAGTTGTGGTTCTGTGTATATGTTACTGGCAGAACTTTAAGACAGGAGACTAAACAGAATGAAAGGACACCCTCAAATTTGATATTGTCAAGGAAGAATTTTTCCTCTTTTGTAGGAAACAGAATTGGCTATCCATTAGCATAACAGCTTGCAGAGTTCTTTTAAGAATACATTTTCAGTTCCCTTCTACAGAGTTGTGACTATTTTGTTTTCCTTTCTTCCCCCCTTTTTGTAGGTTGTTGGAAAGGACACCAATGTCATGTTGGTGGCTTTGGCAGCAAAATGTCTTACTGGCCTGGCTGTTGGGCTAAGGAAGAAATTTGGACAATATGCAGGACATGTGAGTAACACTCCTTTTTAGATACAAATCAACAACGTTAACACGAGTGGCAGACTTGCTTGCTTTATAATATTGAGCATAACCCCTCACAACATTTCAGTAAAGATGTTGGTTATAACTAAATTCATTAGCTTTATATAGAAAATAGGGTACATGGCCTAAATACTTAGTTGAGTTGATTTGCTTATTACTTACTTATTAATATTTTGCTTTGTTCTTGTAAGATTATATGCAGTATAACAGGATGAAATGAAACTTGTGATAACCACTCGAGAGAGTGGTTATGAAAGTAGGAAAGGCAGTATAAGACCAGAAGTGAGATGAATATGTAAAACGTATTTTTAGTGTTTTCTTTCTTTCTTTTTTTTTTTTTAGATTTTATTTATTTGACAGAGAGAGACACAGCAAGAGAGGGAACACAAGTAGGGGGAGTGGGAGAGGGAGAAGCAGGCTTCACGCCGAGCAGGGAGCCCGATGTGGGGCTCGATCCCAGGACCCTGGGATCATGACCTGAGCCGAAGGTAGACGCTTAACGACTGAGCCACCCAGGTGCCCCTTTAGTGTTTTCATATTCAAAATATAATTAATTTACTTATGTACTTGAAACGTTTTATATAGATTAGCCTCTTGGTGTAACAGTTTAATTTATTCTAAGAAATGTGACTGGAGGGCGCCTGGGTGGCTCAGTTGGTTAAGCAACTGCCTTCGGCTCAGGTCATGATCCTGGAGTCCCTGGATCGAGTCCCGCATCGGGCTCCCTGCTCGGCAGGGAGTCTGCTTCTCCCTCTGACCCTCCTCCCTCTCATGCTCTCTGTCTCTCATTCTCTCTGTCTCAAATAAATAAATAAAATCTTTAAAAAAAAAAAAAAAAGAAATGTGACTGGAGCACTCAAGTTTGGTAACAGTTTTAATAAATTGAGTTGTTTTCTTTAACTGTGGCATTTGTCAGTTGGCCTCGGAATCTGGTCTGAATTACTTAGAATGGCGCAGCATCCTGGAAATTGACCATACTAAACTTTAGAGTTGAACTTCCTAGCCACTTGATCATTTGATTACCTAGAATGACTTTAAAGCTAGTTTGTAGTCATGTGTCAGTTTTATGTTGTGAAGTTAATGTCTAAGCTCAGTTACAGTATTTGGAGCTTGCTTACTCATAGCATTAAAAATAATTTCAGAGAACTTAACTGAAAAAAAATACGCTACCAAATAAAAATAAGTCATGACTAACTTGTTACCAGGGAAATAAAAATATGGGTCCATAAAACTCTTAGATATGTAAATTATGAATTGGATAAAACTATAAATAATATTTTACAGCAATAATATTTATTATGCAATACTTGTATGTATATATGCAATCAGTGTGTTAATTAGCTTTTGGTCAGTTTTCTGTTACTTATTAGCATACTTTTTTAAAAAAAGAATATACTTTTGTCTTAATAACTTTTAACCTAGAAAACAATTTTTAGGGTACATTTTAATTTACTAAATCCTAGTCAGATGATTACCTGGCCCAGTTCGAGTTCTGATTCTGGCTTTGTGACATTTTGTTATGCAGCTTAAAGTTACAAAGCTTATAGTTTGGAGTATCACCCCACCCCCCTTAAAACTATCATGTACAGTATTTGATGTCAAGCATGTTAATGGTTCAGGTTTATTTCCTTTAGCTATTTATAAGCTATCTTTTTCATAAAATACATATAAAAGTGAACTTTAGCTTTATAGCCATTAAAACATCTTGATTTTCAAGTTTATAACTAACTCCTAGTATTAAAAAGTCTTTTATATTTCTCCACGGAAACTATATTCCTTCTGGTCTCTATCACTTCTGTGAAATCTTAAAAAACGTTTTTTGGATGCCTTTGAGCTTTGCTGTATTTTTTGGACCTTAAAAGACAACTTTAATTTGCCTGCTAGCACAGTGCCTGGCACTCAATAGGTAACTTAAGTATTCAATAAATATTTTATGAATTACAGATGGTTTATAAGATAAAAATTATAAAATTCCAACTTTATTGATCTAAACTTAGTACTTGAATAAGAGGATATCCTTCTGATCAAAATTGCTATGATTTTTAGTACTGTTTCTTTTTCTTAGTGTAATAAAGGGGTGGGAGACATCCCAGTCTGGTGAAATATATCAGAATCTTAGGTGGGAAGGAAAATTATATGTTATACCTGTTCCCCTATCCTAAATCCACCTAGTTGAGAATCTTTTTGTCTAATAAGAGATGTTACTGATAGAAATGGTTATATGGTTGCATTAAGATGTAGATGCAGAAAAAGGGTTGAGAAGCACTGCTACCAAGGTGCAGAATGGGAACCCTTCATTGTTCTGGCATAAGATCCTTGTGCCCTTCAAGAAAGGAAATGACTTTTTATCCAACTTAGATGTTCACTTTGTTTCTGTAGCACCAAACATTGTTTAAGAACGGCTTTATTGAGATATAACTTACATGTAAACTATAAAATTCACCCTCTTAAAATGTATAATTAAGTGGTTTTAATATATTCACAAGGTTGTGGAACTATCATGACCATCTAATGCCAGAACATTTTCATCACCCCTCAGAAAACCCCTCTACCCATTAGCAACCACTCCCTGCTGGCAGCCACTAATCTACTTCTGTCTGTGTGGATTTGACATTTCGTGGAATCATTTAAATGGATCCTATATTATGTGGCCCTTTATGGACTGGCTTTTTTGATCTGGCATATTTTCAAGGTTCATTTGTGTGGCATGTCAGGACCTCGTTCATTTTTGTTGCCAGCAAACAAAAAGCTCTTCGCTTTTACAGGTTGTGCCAACCATTTTGGAAAAATTCAAAGAGAAGAAGCCTCAAGTGGTACAAGCCCTGCAGGAGGCAATTGATGCAATCTTCCTCACTGTAAGTGGACAACATGAGTTTGCATTTGTGTCTACAGTAAATTTTGTCAGTGTAATATTTTGATTATTCTTAGAGTTGAAAAAAGCTCACTGACCATGTTTTCTTTTCTAAAGACCACACTGCAAAACATCAGTGAGGATGTATTAGCAGTCATGGATAATAAAAATCCAACCATCAAGCAGCAGACATCTCTTTTCATTGCAAGAAGCTTCCGCCACTGCACTGCTTCTACCCTGCCAAAGAGCTTGCTAAAGCCCTTTTGTGCTGCGCTACTTAAGGTATAGACTTCTCTTTGGAATTGGGGGAACTTTTTATACTTAGGGAAGATTTTTTTTTTTCCCCCATATTAATTATGAACTGTGACTACTTGACTTTCAGATTTCAGTAGATTATGGTCTTTTGAGGAGCAGACCCTCTGTAGCTGTGGAAACTGAATCCAAATTCTTGTACTCTGTGCTCCTATTCTCAAAGAAAAGTACAAGTTAGCTTTATGATTCCACTAACTGCTAAACATTTTGTTTCTTATTTGGCCCATATACTGGTGTTCTCTTGGATCTGGCCAAGCACACAGGCATACAGTTTGGAGTCTTTGAAGATTATTTGCATATGAGGCATTTTAAATAGAGGGTAGGAGGAAAAGGAAGCACTTATTTGCTGAATGGATTACCAGAGGTTTCCTTACCCAAAAACAATACGTGAAAGAGTAACTGTTAGTTGGCAAAAGGAAAGCTACACTTAGCTTCAGCAAACTGTAAAAAGCAAGTTCTTTATCCAATAATCACCAGTCTGAATTAAAATAAGTAATACCTAAAATATCTTGTATTAAGATCATTTTGCTTCTTCTGGACCACAGCATATCAATGATTCTGCTCCTGAAGTCAGAGATGCTGCATTTGAAGCATTGGGTACTGCTTTGAAAGTGGTGGGTGAGAAAGCAGTAAATCCATTCTTAGCTGATGTGGACAAACTCAAGCTTGATAAGGTAGGTTAGTGATAGATTATAATGAAATTGGACAACAGTCCTCTCTCTGTATATTATGATTTTGTTTCCATTTTGTCTGTTTCATGAAGACAAAAATGCTGATCAGCTTGTGAAAGTTATTTCATTTGCCACTGGTAGTTCAGGCCTGGAGTGTGAAAACATAGCTTCTGAGGATTTAAATTTCATTTGAAGCTACAGTGGTGATATGAGTAGAAATAGCTTTCAAATTATAAAAAAAAAAAAAAAATAAAGCTGAGTGATCAGTCTATAGAGGAGGTAA